AATTCTATCCGGAAATTATAAATGTAAATCAGAGTTTTAAAATTCATACAACTGAATCAGGATGCCACAAATTCAACTTAAAAACACATTTCATTCAACGTGGATACATAACACTTTAAAACTTCAGATGAACCATCAGTATAATAATTTAATCTCTTAATTCAACAACTTGAACATCTACGCAGCGGAATCATAACAACATCTTTGTCCAACATTACAGCAACTTCAAAATACACATACTTAGCAACAATCAAATTAAAGTTCAACAACTAAAATAATCAATAATTAAAAGCACAAGCGTTCATCCCTCGAGTGTTACGTATTAGAGCAATGACGCCGACTCGAACTACTGAAGGTAGACCACCTTCACTCTGGATTACCTGCACGTTACCAACATAAAGGTAACATTCAAACAGAAGGGGTGAGATATCTAATAATATAATAAAACGTATGATAAATAACATGTTAGATCAGCACATATAATAACTCCACTTCACATCTCATAAACAACAATAATCACAACGGAATACCAACAATATACACATTTATCGCGTCATTACATAACTTCTTTATGCAATCATATAATGTGACTCAATACAATGCAAATGCATGTGGTACCATTGGAGCAGAACTCCCATCTCAAAATAATTGCTAATAAATAGAGGCATCAACAAGGCATAAGCCTTCATCTTAATATTCGCCAATACGGGCCATCTTAACGAGCATCAGCCCCATCTTGATATGTAATGTATGCAACACAATAATGAATTTAGTAACGAAAACCACAATTAACAACATCTCAACACAACATCATCATTGACCAGAAGCCTACATCTTAATAGATGTCAATTATTAGAGGCATCTCAACATCATGCATCAACATAATTCATCAACATGATTCATCAACATAACTCATCAACATAATTCATCAACATAATTCATCAACATAATTCATCAATATTATTCCACAACAACTCAGCCATAACAACAATACAACGACAAATCGAAATCTCTCAACGTTGGCCATAGGCCTACAACATGATAATGCATATAATTAATTAATCATCTAAGGCTTATCTCTAATTACCAAACCTCTAAATATTATTATTATGTAATACTACATCATTATTATCATTATAAATCTTACTGTGATGAACAAAGCATAATCTAAGATCGTCTTATCATCATCATACTTCACAAAAATCATCATAGCGATTAACGCGGGAAGCTAACTCTAATCCTAATTTGGTTACTAAGATTATTATTCTTACCCTTCATTTTAATCCTTAATAGTTAAGTTCATCGCGTTAGCTATCCAACGCTTCAAACGGCACCTCAAACGGAGTCCGGAAACTCAAGTTATAGCCTTTGGAAGAATCTGTCAAAATCAGACTGCATGAGTCGACGCATGTCTCTTTGAGTCAAAACGTACTGGGTTGAAATCCTACATGAGTCGACACATAATCCCCTTGTGTTGACTCATACTGAGTCTGAAACACTGTATGTATCGACGCATGGTCCTATGTATCGACTCATCCTGAGTCCAGAAACCTGCACGTGTCGACGCATGGCCTTTAAGGTCGACTCATACTGTTCTGTGATGAATATATTATGCAATTTCACCGTGATTTCCCTACCTTAGGCCCTAAAAACATCCTCTAATCATAGGTAATCATCAATTATAATAATCCTAAGTTTCTAAACCAACTATACCGCATTAGGGCATCATTATTCATCTCTAAATCAATGATCCTCATCAAACAACAATATATATAATTCAATCATAAACAAAACAGTTTTTCACATCCAATCCCACATACTACTCATTATAAACCCTATTATAGAGCCAGAACCCCACCCTTACCATGGATTGAAGGTTGCTCTACAACTTTTCCGATTGAATTCCGTTCTGCCTCTTTTCCTTCTTTTCTGCAACTTTCACGTTCTCTTTCTCTTCTTCCAACCGTTATTTTCTTTCTCTTCTTACTGATACTTCCTTTTTATTATTAATTCTAAATAACTAATATAATAACTCTATAATTCTCATTATGTCTTAATGGGCTCAAAACTCCTACACCCCTTTTCTACTACTTCTAATCCTTAAAAATAAGTCCACATCAAGTAATATTATTATTCTAATATTATTTCACAACTTAATTAAATCCAACTAATCACAACACAACATATATCATCATAACACAACTTCACAAATAATCCAAAAATAATTTAATTAAATAATTAATTAAATTACGGGCGTTACACACACTACTTCGACTCTATCGAAACTAACATTTAAAACACAAAGAATTACATATTTATCACACCACCAAATTCATTGTGTATAAATTATCTACATTCATCATAATCCTTAATCTTTTGAATAACTCCACATGCACAACCTTGTCATGATGTCTACAATATAGTTCTCAGTTCTACAATGTTCCAATTACAGCTTCCCATTTTCTACTTTCTCTCGAAGATAATGGGACCTCATCTTAATATGTTTGTTTCTTCCATGTGATATCAGATTCTTAGCCAAATTAATAACGAACATGATGTCGATCTTCATGATTATTGCTCCATGATTCTCATTGGTAATTTCTTCGATCATACTCACCATCCATGTTGCTTGACATTCACAATTAAGGTATAACACCTGAGGCCAAAAAGAGCAGAGAGTGATTATACACCTGAGGTCGAAGAAGGAGAGGAGTGGTCGCCAAATTCACATAAGAATGAGAGGAATTCTAAGGTTGTGCAAGGAAGAGACTGCATGGTTGAAGAAAAGCTTATAAAGATTGATAGATACTACCTATAACAATAAGATGCATCTTCTTTTCGGTAGCTTAACAGATAAGAACTCCATAGTTAAGCGTGCTTGAATTGAAGTAGTATTACGATGAATGACCTTCTTGGAAGTTTACCATAAAGCATGTGAGTGGGGACAAATCATGCTGAAAAGACCTGTGTTGGTTTGTGGGGTTAGTCGATAATCCTGAAAGATGTCGGTGGCATTACATGAGACATCTATGTACTCTACCTCACATGACGATAGTTTTATCACTAGTTCCTTTCTCGAGCTCCAAGCAACTGGTGCACCCCTAGCATAAATACAAAACCAACTATGGATTTTCTATCCTCAACATCACCACACCAACTTGAGTCGGTGTAACCCAATAATTTGCATTCTTTTCCTTCACCAGCTGCAGGAAACAAAATTCCATAGTCGAGTGTTCCTTTGATATACCTTAGTATTCTCTTCATAGTTATGAGGTGTGATACCTTTAGCTTCTGCATGAATCTACTCACCATACCCACAATATATGCTAAATCATGCCTTGTGTGACAAAGGTATCTTAATGACCCAATAAATCTTCTGTATTAAATTGGACCGACTCCATATTCAATTGACTTATTCATTAGCTTGAGTCTTGGTTCAACAGGTGTTAAAGTTGCATTGTAATCCTCCATCTCAAATCTTTTGAGTATCTCAGTTGTATATCTTCTTTGATGCATTATCAGTCATCTACTGCTCATGTAGAATTCGATATCGAGGAAGTATGAAATGTTTCCAGATCATACATTTCGAACTCCTTGTTCAGGTCACCTTTGAAGTCTTAGATCTCCCTCTTGCATCTTCACATATCAACAGGTCATCGAGATAGATACATAGTATAAGCAGTTCACTCTTGCTTCTTCTTACATATACACCATGCTCAATTGTGAAATTTATGAACTCTTTCTCTCTCATAAAACCATTTATCTTCTTATTCCAAGCTCTTGGAGCTTGTTTGAGTCTATACACAGCTTTATGAAACCTGTATACTTTGTTTTCTTGACCTTGTTTCACAAATCCAACTGGTTGTGCAACATAAACTTATTCGTCTAGGGGACCAATCAGAAATGCATATTTCACATCCATCTGACAAATATACCAATTATTCATATTTATTAGACCAACAACCAACCTTATTTTTTCAATCCTAGAAACTGGTGCAAGAACTTCATCAAAGTCGACTCCTTCTTTTTGAAGAAATACTTTTGATACAAGTCTTACTTTGTGTTTGGTTACTTCTTCTTTTGGATTTAGCTTCACTTTGTTTACATATTTCATATTCATTTCCTTCTTATCTTGTGGCAATTCGACAAGCAAACAAGTTTTATTGACCTCTACGGATTCTAATTCCTCCACCATGACTTTCATCCACTTTGAGTCCTTCAATACCTCAATTTCATTGACTGACTCAACAAATACATAAAAAACATATTGTACCATTTAACATTCATTATCGACTGCATCATATGATAGCTATAGATTATAATATTCATAAAACAAGATAATTGATTCACATAATGATATATTATTTAAACATAAAAAATAAAAATACATATGTCAAAATTTATGGCCATGTTGAAAGAATTGAATTTGAAAGAGTGAGTTCTAGAAAATGGATTTAGGACCCACTCAAAAATTGTAACAAGGAAGAGATTAGATTAGAAAAGAATAGAAGAGAAAGAGTGCATGACAAGAAGAACGTGATTCAGTTTTTTCTGGTAACACAACATCACCACCGTTCATCGTATCAAGTTCTTCTTACTAACTTTTCTGTTTTTCATAGAATGCTATTTCCCTCCTTCTTCTCTTTGTATGCTAATCATTCATTCATTCACCTTAATCAACCAAACATTTTCGTTGCTTTCAACTTAAGTTTGATTTTGAATTTCCATTTTACTTAGCTATCGTTTTCATTTTGATGCATAAATTCAGTAGCTTCTGTAACAATCTTCATGTTTATCACTTTCTATCATCAATGTTTTGCAAGTAGACTTATCATTTATAGGATATCATGAACTTCTCTTAAACTGATAGGGAAAGAGTGATGTGCTATGCACCACTGACACCACAATTGTGATTACGTTTCATTTATTTATTATTTCAATTTATTACCTGGTGTCATGTTTAGGTGATGTATAGTGAATAAGGGCAGTGAGTGAGAATCATGGGATGGTATAGAGCTGCTTCTGGCATTGTGAAGCATTCAATTAGGAGAAACCTTCATCGAGGTGGATCCCTTTGTTACGCGACAAGGAACATAGTCCTTTCATCAACAAGTAGAAACTTTCAGACAACAGTTTTCAAATCCAAAGCACAAACTGCACCTGCACCTCGCCCCGTGTCGCTGTCTAGTTTAACTGACAATTTCTTAGATGGCACGAGCAGCGTCTATTTGGAGGAGCTTCAAAGAGCTTGGGAAGCTGATCCAAACAGTGTAGACGAGTCTTGGGACAATTTCTTCAGGAAATTTGTAGGTCAGGCTTCCACCTCCCCGGGAATTTCTGGCCAAACGATTCAGGAGAGTATGCCATTGCTGTTGCTGGTGAGAGTATATCAGGTTAACGGCCACATGAAAGCAAAGCTAGATCCTTTGGGTTTGGAAGAACGTAAAACCCCCAATGAGTTAGATCTCGCCCTTTATGGGTTCACCGAGGCTGATCTTGACCGAGAATTCTTTCTGGGGGTGTGGAATATGTCTGGATTTTTGTCTGAGAATCGTCCGGTGCAAACCCTTAGGTCTATTTTGACACGACTCAGCAAGCTTATTGTGGAAGCATTGGCTATGAGTACATGCATATACCGGACCGTGACAAATGTAATTGGCTTAGGGAGAAGATTGAAACCCCTGCAGTCATCCAATTTAGTCGGGAGCGTCGCGAGGTTATTTTTGATAGGCTAGCTTGGAGTACACTTTTTGAAAACTTCTTGGCACCAAATGGACTTCAGCATAGAGGTTTGGGCTTGAAGGGGGGAGAAACTCTTATTCCTGGAATGAAAGAAATGTTTGACCGGGCATCCGATATTGGGGTTGAGAACATAGTTATGGGAATGGCACATAGAGGAAGATTGAATGTTTTGGGTAACGTAGTTCGGAAGCCACTTCGTCAGATATTTTGCGAGTTTAGTGGTGGTGGTTTACCCGTGGATGAAGCCGGCCTCTACACAGGAACAGGTGATGTTAAATATCACTTGGGAACTTCTTATGATCGGCCAACCAGAGGCGGGAGGAGACTACATTTGGCTTTGGTGGCAAATCCTAGTCACTTAGAAGCAGTTAATCCACTCGTTATTGGAAAAATTCGAGCAAAGCAGTATTACTCAAATGACGCCGAAAGAATGAAAAACATGGGTGTTTTGATTCATGGAGATGGTAGTTTTGTTGGACAAGGTGTAGTCTACGAAACCCTTCATCTTAGCGCTCTTCCGAATTATACTACAGGTGGAACTATACACATCGTGTTCAACAATCAAGTTGGCATTTACAACTGATTCGAAGTCCGGAAGATCTTCACAGTATTCCACTGATGTTGCCAAAGCATTAAATGCTCCAATCTTTCATGTGAATGCTGATGATGTGGAAGCAGTTATTCATGCGTGTGAACTTGCTGCGGAATGGCGTCAGACTTTCCATTCAGAGGTGGTTGTTGACTTAGTATGTTACCGTCGCTTTGGCCACAATGAGATTGATGAACCTTCTTTCACACAGCCTAAAATGTATAAGGTTGTCTTTTTTGTTTAGTATTGTCTTATTCTTTTTATATTCGTATTACTTTTGATAAGTTACTCATATTTTCGACTTTCCGGGACATGTATAGGTCATTCGGAACCATCCATCTGCACTTGAGATTTATCAGAAGAAACTTTTGGAGTTAGCGGATTTAACTAAAGAAGACATTGATAAGATACACAAGAAGGTCACATCAATTCTAAATGATGAGTTTTTGGCCAGCAAAGATTATGTTCCGGAAAGGAGAGATTGGCTTTCAGCGTATTGGTCTGGTTTCAAGTCACCTGAACAGCTTTCTCGTATACGGAACACTGGGTATAGTAAATTTAATGTTAAAGTTTCTTAAGTCTTTCTGTTGATTGTACAGAAGTTGAAAACTATGATCAATCTCGTGCAGGGTGAAACCGGAGATTTTGAAACATGTTGGGAAAGCAATCACAGCCTTACCAGAAAATTTCACTCCTCATAAAGCAGTGAAGAGGATTTATGAACAGCGTGCCCAAATGCTCGAAACCGGAGAAGATATTGACCGGGGATTTGCAGAGGCACTTGCTTTTGCAACATTGATAGTGGAAGGCAACCATGTTCGTTTAAGCGGCCAGGACGTTGAAAGAGGAACATTTAGTCACCGTCACGCGGTAGTTCATGATCAAGCAACTTGGGAGAAATATTGCCCCCTTGACCATGTTATAATGAACCAAAATGAAGAAATGTTCACTGTTAGCAATAGGTAATTTTCTTAGTTAACATTTGAAACATGAATTCATAACCAAGTAACAATTTGATATGCTATGCAGCTCCCTTTCGGAGTTTGGTGTTCTTGTTACTCAATAGAAAATCCTAATTCATTGGTGATCTGGGAGGCACAATTTAGCGATTTCGCTAATGGTGCTCAAGTCATATTCGACAATTTCTTGAGTTGTGGTGAGTCAAAGTGGCTCCGTCAGGCTGGTCTTGTTGTGTTACTTCCAAATGGTTATGATGGCCAAGGCCCGGAACATTCAAGTGCGGGATTAGAACGCTTTCTTCAGGTGCTATACTATAAATCTATGTTCTCATTTCCTTGAACTTCTTCAAAGCTTTTATTCTTTCTGCATTCATCTTTCAATGTTACGCGTTGTAGTAATCAAATGGCGCGTCTGCTGCTTTCTTTGCAGATGGCTGATGATCATCCTTATATTATTCCTGAGATGGATCCTACTCTTCGAAAACAAATTCAAGAATGTAATTGGCAGATTGTGAATGTTACAACTCCGGCAAATTTTTTCCATATTTTACGGCGGCAGGTTTGTAAGTAGTATAATAATCAATTAATGTAAGCTTTGTCACTTGAAGTTGTAATGTATCCTCGAATTTTTTCATTGTTGTTTTATGACTTTTCGCAGATACATAGAGAATTCCGTAAACCTCTCATTGTATTGTCCCCTAAGAATCTGCTTCGCAGTAAGGTTTGCAGATCAAATTTATCTGAGTTTGATGATGTTCAAGGACATCCAGGTTTTGACAAACAAGGAATCAGATTTAAGCGTCTCATAAAAGACCAAAACGACCATGCAAATGTCGAGGAGGGTATCAGACGCTGAATATCAGACGCTTAATACTATGTTCTGGAAAGGTCTGTTCTACTCATTGGAACTGGCTGTTCATCACTCACTCATTGTTTTCGAAATATGCTTCTTATGATCATCAATGTCTTACATTCGTCTCAGGTTTACTACGAACTTGATGATCAACGAATAAAGGTAGATGCAAAAGATGATGCAATATGTAGAGTGGAACAACTTTGTCCTTTCCCTTGTGATCTTGTTCAACGTGAGCTCAAACGGTATCCAAGTATGTCCGTTCAAACTTCTCCTAAGCATAGTTGAAGTTTTGGTAAATCATTATAAATTTTGAATGGCAGGATAGTAATCATGTTAAGTCTTCTGTGCTAAATATTTTACTTTGTTTTGTTTAGTGCTAGACGCGGAAGTTGTTTGGTGTCAAGAAGAACCAATGAACATGGGTGGATACACTTACGTTTTACCGCGGCTTATAACTTCGATGAAGTCATTAGGTAGGGGAGGTTATAATGATATCAAATATGTCGGCCGTGCTCCGTCTGCAGCCACAGCTACTGGTTTCCTCAAGGTTCACTACAAGGAGCAGGCCGAGCTAGTTGAGAAAGCACTTCAAAGTGAACCAATCAACTTCCCTTACTAATGTTCTGTGCATGTTCATTATTCCTTTGGAGAAGGATGAAGCGCATTTGAGTTGGAGGGTAGCTTATAATTCACTTTTTTTTTTACTATATATAATTCTAAATTAGACTTGTAAGTTACATGGCACTGACCATCATATTCAAATACAATCTACTTGTTAATTTAAAAGTGATTATTTCACTTAATAGATAATAATGGATACTACTGTGTTAGAATGGAACTAGTTTGTTAATTTTCTATTAGCTTTATATAGAGAGTCTCTCATCAAAACAAAATTGATGTATAAATATCATGATTTCGTAAATTGCAACAATCCAAAGTCCATACAATTTGTAAAGTTGAACATAATTTAAGCATAAATTAATTTGTAAAATGAAATATTAACCAACTTATTTCACTATATAACGAGTGGATATGTTTCATTTCAAAATACACTAAAAATTATTTTATTAGTTTTTCCTTCCTCATTTTGAATTGTCGAAGCGTCAACTTTTTCCCCTCTCTTTCTACTCGTTGAATTTTTCGAGTATTTTCTTGAATTCTCTTTAGAGAATTATGTTAATTTCTCCTCATTTGAGTTGAGAAATTTTCAAGTATTAACTTTTGGATTCAGGTTGGAGAATTATTTGAATTTCTCTTTGTTGGAGAAATTATTATGAGTGATCAAACAACCATTATTAAATTCTCTTTGGAGAATTATTTGATTTTCTTTTTGTTTGAGAAATTATTACGACTGGTCTTTGTACCAGATACTACGAGTGGTATTGATACCATATTTGAATGGTCATGTACCATCAGAGGGTGTATTTCTAGACCAATTAATTTCCAATGCAAGTGGTAATCATACAATATAGAACTGAAATGTTTTATCCTAGAGGCGACGCAGTAGTTCGACTATTTTGTATAATTTTGAGTTGTGCCGCGAAATATCTTAAAGAGAGCGACCTAGTCCGCGACTCAACCTGATAGTTTTTCGGTGGCAAATATTTCAAAATTCGAAAACAATAATTTTAAGATAATTCAAACTGTCATGGCTACCGAAGAAATTATTGGTACTTTTGCGGATATTGTCTTTGAAAAATTGTTCATGTTTGAGGGAAGTCACTTCAAACATTGGCAACAAAAGATGAATTTCTTAACGTTAAAAAAAGTTGCTAACGTTCTGATTGATGATATTCTGTTGCTCCTTTTAGATCAACCGAACAAACTAATGGTAATAAATATGGATATTAAGAAAGAACACTTAATAGTGTTGAAGTTGAGTTTGTTGGACATATTAAAGCGAACAATTTACAACATAAGAAAGAAATCACCTTATAGAAAGAGAATGAAAATTTATACAAAATCATATTTTGAATGGACTCGCAAATGATCTGTATGACCATTACAGTAACTGCGATACTCTAAAACATATATATGAGGCTCTGAAAAACAAGTATGACATTGAAGAAGCTAGAGAACAGAAGAATGATCTTAACAGCTAAATGAAGTATCATATGGAGGAGGAAAGGTTTATGGAGACCCAAAGTCACGAACTTTAAAATATTTCTCATGAGGTCATCATTAAAGGTATGTATTTATATGAACAATTTCAAATTGCTTTTATCATTGACAAATTGCCCCATAGTTAGAAAATTTTCAAAAGTTTGCTTTGCTATGAAACAAGAATTTATAACCGAACCACTGATTGTTCGCCTTTGAATTGAAGAAGAGTCTCAGAGAAAAGATCAAAAAGAAAAAGTCTTGGTTGTTTAACAACAAAAAGAAACTCAGTGCAGTTCTGAAGCCATATGACAAACTAGTAAAGAATCAGAACTGCAATATTCTGAAACGAATTAAGAATGGAAACCCTTCTATGATCCCAATTGCTCCAACTAGGTAACAACCATCGCCTCAAAGAAATGATGTTGGTTTTCCTTTATTTCAACTGTGAAAAATCAAGTCATATGGATAAGAGATGTAGAAGCAGGCTTGAACCTGTTGCTGCCCCTAATGCACATGTTAACCTGACTAATGGGCAATGTATTGCTATGATAATTGAAATCAGTATGGTTGATAGATTTGATGGTTGGTGAATAGACATTACTGTATCTCGTCGTTTCTGTTATGAATGTGTCATGTTTAAAACATATACGAATACTAAATATAAGAAAGTGTTATTGGGAGATGGTCACACCACTAATATTGTTAGAATTGGAGGCATGGAGTTGAATTTCACCTCCGGAAAGACTTTAATCTTAAAGGACGTCATACATGTTCTTGAGATTAGGAAGAATCTTGTTTATGATTTTCTTTTAAATAAGGTAAGGTATAGTCAGTATATTGTGGTAAATCTGTACACCATTACGAAGAATGATATTTTTCTGAATGAAATTGATATGTTTAAAAACTTTGTAAAGAATCTGAAAATGATTTAGTAAGAATTTGTGTGATAGAGAAACTGTATGATTCTAGTTTATTTAATGAATTTTATACATGAAATTTTATATGAAATGACTGCACCATATTATCCTGAAATGAATGGTAAAGCAGAAAGAAAGAATATAACTCTTATTAAATTTGTTGTTACAATTATGTTGAATTCTAGTGTTGCACCTCATTTATGGGGGGAAATTTTATTGACTGTTTGTTATGTCCTGAATAGAGTTCCCAAGTCAAAAAGTATGATCTCTCTCCTTATGAGATATTAAAGAAAAGACAACCAAACTCGTCTTATTTGAGAACTTAGAGTTGTCTGACTTATGTCAGAATTCTGGATCCGAAACGAGTTGAACTCGCTAGTAGGGCCTATGAATGTGTATTCATTAGGTATGCAGAAAACAGTAAGGCATATAAGTTTTATGACCTAAATGCTAAAGTGATCATAGAATCAAATGATGTTGAATTTTATGAAGACGAATTTCCTTTCAATTTGAGAAATAGTGGAGACACTGAATTGAATTACATTTCTGTGATAAAAAGCACTGAAAGCAACAACAAAGTAAAAACAAAATTGATAAAGTAAAAGAGTAAGAGTTACTAAAGACTATGAGCCCAGTTATATGGTTTATAATGTAGAAGGAGATCCAATAAATCTTCAAGAAGCCTTGTCATCTCTGGATGCAGATTTATGGCTAGAAGTTGTTAATGATGAAATAGATTCTATGGAATCTAACAAGACCTGTCACTTAATAAACTTGTCTCCTGGTTTCAAACCAATCGGTTGTAAATGGATTTTTGAAAAAAAGAAACTAAAATCTGATAGAATAATTGAAAAGTACAAGGTTTGTATTGTAGCCAAAGATTTTAGGAAAAGAGAAAATATAGATTTCTTCGGTACTTTTACTCAGTCACTCTGATTACATCCATTAGGATACTAATTTCAATAGTCACTATTTATAATGTAATAGTACACTAAATTGATTTTAAAATAGTTTTTTTAACGGTGACTTAGAAGAAGAAATCTATATGGACCAATCAGAAGGATTTGTGATTCTTGGAGCAAGAAAACAAGGTCTGTAAGTTAGATAAGTCTTTGTATGGGGTAAAACAAGCTCCAAAGCAATGACATGAAAAGTTTGATAACTTAATGATATTGAATGAGTACAAAGTGAATGAAAGTGACAAATGTGTTTATTACAAATTTTGAGAATTGTATTTTCACTATCATATGTCTATATGTAGACTATCTACTCATATTTGGATCAAATATTCATGCCGTTAATGATATAAAATCATTGTTGTGCAACAACTTTAATATGAAAGACCTTGGAGAAGCGAGTGTGATTCTTGGTATCAAGATCACGAGATCCGAGTAAAGAATTTATTTGAATCAATCACACTAAGTGGAAAAGATCTTAAAGACATATAATTCCTTTGACAGTAAACCTGTGAGCACACCACATGATCCAAGCGTGAATCTGTTTAAGAACACTGGTGAAAGTCTTAGACAAACAGAATATGCGAGCATCATTAAAAGTTTTAGGTATTCTATTGATTGTACTAAATCTGATATTGCATATGTCGTGGGATTTTTGTGCAGGTTTACTAGTAGACCGAGTAAAGAATATTGACAAGCTATTGAGCGAGTCATGTGGTACCTTAAAAGGACCATGAATACCAGTTTACATTATCAGAGATTTTCTGTTGTACTTGAAGGATACAATGATGCATATTATAATACCTTATCAGATGATTCCAAAGCAACTAGTGGCTATGTATTCCATAACTAAAGGAGTTGTATCTAGGAAATCAAAGAAACAAACTATATTGGGTCAGTCCATGATAGAGTCTGGGATGATAACATTAGCGAATGCTAGTGAAGAAGCAAGTCGATTAAGATGCTTGCGAACTGAGATTCCCTTATGGGAAAAACTTATGCCAGGTGTGTTGATCCACTGCGATAGTACCGCAACTATTGCAAAAATTGAGAACTATTATTATAATGGTAAAAGACGTCAAATAAGAAGAAAGCACAACACCGTCAGAGATGGTATCTCTAAAGGAGCTGTATGAGTGGATCATGTACGCACTGATAAAAACTTAGAAGGTCCTTTAACGAAAGGATTAGCTAGAGAGAAATTCTATAATACATCGTATAAGATGGGACTAATGTCTATAGGAATATGAGTTGCTCGTGATGGTAATCCGACTTAAATGGCTGGAGATCCCAAGAAATAGGTCCAATGGGTAATAACAAGTTGTGAGTAATATGAGGCGATCATGTTGGAGTAAATAAGAGAAGCATGAATCCTGAAGTGATAAGAGAATGAGATGATAGAAACTCTTAATGAGATCTATACTTTGCATGAGGGAGTACCTAGGCTATAGGAGTACTCTTGATAGACTCACCTATGTGATTGTGAAACTTAGGCCGATTCTTATGGAATTTTGAAGCAGAATTCCTAGAGCCTTCACTAAACCGGGATACAAGGGCTATCAGAATACACCTTAAGAAAAGGTTGTGTGCGGGTTTGATGTCTAAGATAGAGTTCAAGACATTTATCTCACTCTTGTTGAATC